CCCTACTGTGTGAGCTGAGAGAGACTCCGCCAGCTCGGGCCCACCAGCCCTGGTGCCCCGGCCCCGGGCTGAGAACGCGGCCCTCAGGCCAGGGAAACCTCGGACCCCCTACGCATCCCTGTCTTGGTTTATGCTGGTGGGAGGGGCTTCTATCCCCGCAAATGTGACCTGAGGCTGCGTCATGCCCTGATGGCCTGACGGCCTGGGCTGCCTCTGTCGCCCCTGCACAGCCCCCATATGCAGCGTCCAGTGAGCTGGGCCCTGGCAGGGCAGCCCCACGGGCCTGGGTTACCTGTTTTGATGATGGAGGTCTGCGGGTGGGCGCTCAGCATCCCCTTGTTGTAGAACTCACTCTTGTGATACATGTTGTTCTCAAACTGCCTCAGAGATTGAGGAGGCTTGAGCAGCTGCCAGTTCTTGTTGTCCGGGAAATGGTCCTCGATGAACAGTGCAGGGTGGGTGAGGAAGTAGAATTCATTGTAGCTGGAGGGGGAAAGTGGGTCAGTAGTCAGGTGGGGGGAGCAGGCCCCGGCTGTGCAGAGGGGCGGGGGGGCCCACAGGGTGTCTTTGGGGTCTTCTTTGGGCTAACGTATCCTAGGGGGGGCCCAGCCACTACCCAGTGGGAAGAGGCACCATTTCCAACCCTAACGTGGGTGCTGCAGATGCCCCCTCAGTGGCTGCTTCCATAAATAGGAGGTGAGACAGGATCTGAGGCCCCTTTTAAGAGAAGGCCACTGCCCAGGAGGGGCTGTGACCAGGCGGGGAATGGGCTGCCCCTGCTCTCAAAGCCAGAGAGATTTGAAGGGAGCAAAGCCGTGACCCACAGACCAGGTGCCAGTGGAGTGGAGGGAGGGCAGGGAGGGAAAGCTTGGTGCACCAGCTCCGTCCACATGGTGACCTGATGTGAGTAGCTGTGCAGGTGGGAGGCCCTGATGTGGGCCCTGGGGCTGCCTAGACACGGGTCTCTGGAGGTCAGTGATGCAGATCAGGAGAACGGGGGACTCATCCGACATGGGCGAGCCTTCACTCGACCCCAGGTGAGCAGCGCCCAGAGCTGATGCAGCAAAGCAGGGGTGTGAGTGAACGCGTCCTGCATGTACGGGCTCCGTGCACGCACTTGTATCGGCCCCGCGTGCAGGACCGTCAGGATTTTAACTGCACAAGTAGCGCCGTGCTCTCATTTTTCTGGATGAAAAGGCATCTGAGCTGCTGGTGGACATCAAGATCTAGCACGAATGTCAGGGCCTTAGCTTAAGGCAGGAGCCTCAGAAGACAGATGCGCTCCAGCCCCCGGTACCCAGGCCACCCTGCCCCGCTGTGGTCACAGGGAACCTGCACACACCAGCTCCCCTTCCTGCACACCAGACCCCCTTTCTCAGAGGTGGGATTCAGCTGCATTCAGCCCAGAGAGCAGGAGGAGGAAGCCCGGTGTCTGCGAGAAGCAGTAGGAGAGAATTCTGGCAACTGTAACACGGTCAGTGGCCAAAGGCCTGAGGGGAACCTACAGACACTTAGAGAAGCTTCTCAGCCCGGCCTTTCCTTGCACTTGCCCTGTGGGCAAACACTGTGCTTTTAGCACTTGGGTGGAGGGAGCGCTGGGGAGCCAGAGGGGGGATTTAGACAGTGGAGAGTGAGGTGACAGGAAGGCCTGGGCCCTTAGCACTGGCCTGGAGCTAGCTCACTCCCTCCACCAGAGGAAGGGTGGGAGCAGCCAGCAGCACACGGAGGAGGCCCCCCAGCTCTCCTTCCCCTTCCATCCAGCCTTCTCCACCTGCTGCCTCCTCCATCTCCACCCACCAGGCACCCCGCAGAACCGAGGTACTTACAGGAAGGTGAATTTGGAGGTGGTGGAATCCACCAGGCCGCTGCCCCAGGTGCTGTCCACCAGGTGCCATCTCCCCTCCAGGAACACGGCGTTCCAGGCGTGGTCAAACTCCCCAGAGAAGCTCTGCCCCGGCTGGTAGCCAAAGCCCTTGGAGTAGCCAGGCACGGTCATGCACTGCACGCCAGCGATCCTGGGGCGGGACAGGGCTCTGAGAGGCGGCTCCTGCTGGGCCTGCGTCCGGCACCACAAGTCTGTCTGTCTGTGGCCCCAGGCCTTAGGCGCATTTGCTGTCCGGAAGTCCCTCCGGGCCTCTCCTCTTCCCTGCCTCTCGCCCAGTCACATACACACAGCCTTTTGTCTGCAGAGCTGGGGGACAGGGGGACACAGGGCTGGCTGGTCCCTCCGGCGCAGCCTGGCTGCGGTCCCCGCTGTCCCTCCAGCCTCTACAGAGCACTTGGGAATGTCTCTCCCCAGAGCCTGCCTGAGGGCTCCGCCGGCAGCCGCAGGAGGACAGTGGTGCAAGAGTGAGGGGTGCCTAGCGGACACGGAAACCAGGGGCATGCCAATGCTCTCGACTCGACACACGTGGCTGGGGAGCTGGGTCGAGGTGCCACGGGTGGGGCGTCAGGCAGGGTGCTGCACTCGAGGGTGCGGGAGAAAGCTGAGCCCACCTCCACCGCCACGTCCTGCCCGCAGACGCCTGTGCGGGGACCCCTGGGGCAGGCCAGCCGGGGTCCCCATCTTGACCTGGGGAGGACTGGCCCACTGCCAGGGCCACCACGGCGCATTAAGGCCATTTGCCGACTGATCGCCCTGGCCACGGTTTCAGAGTCCCCTGTAGCTGTTACTTTGGGAGTGGAATTGCTGAGCGGTCAGCCCGAGCTTTTATCAAGACCCCCTTGACAGTGTGTTCCCCCACTGCTCACAACCAAGTTGGCTTGCATGGTGGGGCGATGGGCGCTGGTCACCTCTGGGGACCAAATGGCAAGCTCTAATCTGGGTGCTTGTAGCTGGAACACTGAGGCCCAGACCTGGGCTGTGGGCAGCACCGCACGGCCACGGCAAGCACCCCGAGAGTCTTGCCATGGCCAGCTGGCCCTCTCCTTCAACAGCCCTGCCCCCACATGGCAGCTATTCTGGCGCAGGCCCCGGTGCCAGCCCTTCTGGGGCCTCTGTGTGAGCTAGAACAAGGTGCTTCTTCTTCAGGACACTTTCCTTTCACTGTGGAAGGTTGGTGTAATCAACGCCCAAACCCATGATATCCAGGATGTTCGTGATGGCCCATCGGATGGGGCTTAGCACGAGCTGCCCGCTGACTCTGCCCTCCCCTTGCACGAACTGGGGCTGTGCTCCGGGTGTAGGCCCAGCCTGAATCAGGGAAGCGGCCTCGGGCAGCTGGGGTCCCTCCAGGAGCAGGTCTGCAGCCTCAGTTGCTCTGAACAAGAGGCCATGGAGTCTCAGGCTAATGGGGTGAAATGGCCATGCACACAGGATAGGAATGGGGAAATTTTCCGTATAAAAACGACCATTTAATTAACAATTAGTAGAATATTGGATTAAATACGACTTATCTCTATTTACATGTCATTTGTTGAGAGACCTTGTGAGGCAAAATATGGAGCCTGCAAATTACCAGATTCCACCTTGCCATGGGGGCCGCGCACATGCCCACGCGGCCTGAGCTCCCCTCTCCTGCCAGGGGCAAGCCTGCTCTGCTGAGGCTCCTTATGGGCTGGGAAGTTTTGCAGCCCCCCACCCTTCTGCCTGCCAAAAGGACGTCCAGGTCTCCCTGGCTGCCTAAGAAATCCCACGGGAACAGACCAGCTGGGCCCATGGGGAGGATTTCGGGAGCACTTAGGGGGTGGGAGCAGAGAACGAGAGAAACCAGATTCCCATGGATGTCAGGATTCTGCTGGTAAAAGCCAACACGGACTCCCTGGAGCAGAAGGGCCGCCCAGAGGCCCGAGGCCTGGGAGGGGTGGGCCCAGGACCCCAGGGGAGGGAATTGCAGCAGGCATGCCTGGAGAGCCGCCTTCTCATTTAGCTGCAATGGGATGAGGCCCAGGGGGTTTGTTCTCAGCCTGTGTGATCTGAGTGAGTTTATAGTCTTAGAGGAAACAGCCGGCAGAGGGGCGAGGCGAGGGTCGCATGCCAGGCCTGGGAGCTTGGACTGAGGTACGTGGGAGGTATGGGGGCACCTTCCATAGGAGGTAGGGCTCCATATACTCAGAGAGTGGACGAGGAGAAGGAATGTTGTGAAAAACATTTAACGAGGTAGGAGATGCTCCTGACACGCTGTTAACTGACAAGAGCCTATAAAACCCCGCCATCAGCACAAGGTGTGTGTGTGTGTGTGTGTGTGTGTGTGTGCACGCGCGTGTGTGCTCATGCATGGAAAACAAGAGATGGGGGAGGGCAGAATGAGAGAGACAGCACAAAAGTCATCTGGTCTCTTAGTGATGGGATTATGGGTGATTTTAATTTTCTTCTTTAAGCTTCTCTTTATTTTTAAAATTTTCAATAATGATTATGCGTTACTTTTCGAATTGGAAAAGAATCCATAAATACTACTTGAAAATGACACTTTTAGTGAGTTATTTTCCTTTCTTGCCCGGAACGTCGGTGCATATGAATTTCTAGGATGATGTGGAGGAGTGTGGAGTACTGGGACAGCAGTGTTTACACAAGGGGCTGCTTTGCAGGAAGGGAGGGGAGCTGCGGGCCTCGGGAGGGTGTCTGCTCCGCTCTGAGCGAAGTCAAGGGGGGAAGGAGAGGTGCTGAGCGCCCATGCGGCCTCCAGGTGCTGTGAGAAAGATGGCGCTGGTGCTGATGTGGGCAGATGGCTGGCTGGAGCTCTGCCGGAGTGTCCTCCTGGGAGAAGCCATGTCCCCGGGCAGAGGTATCCTCCCACCACGGGTGTGAAGTGGAGGTCAGAGTTGAGCACCAAGTAGGGGAATAAGAGTGAACACCACGCCCCAAGCCTGGAAAGGGCTGGAGGGGGGAGAAGCGAGTGGCCAGCTGTCCTCCCAGAGGGCTCGGGGCTGGAGGCGGTGGTGACTGGGCTGAGCCGGGAGGGCGGGGCTCACCCCAGAGTGACCTTGCCAGGCTCACTGTGGGCAACACAGAAGTTTGGCATTAAATGATCTCTAGGGGTTGATTCTCTTCTGACAGGCTGAGGAGAAGCTGGGAGGGCCGTGGGGAATGCCTAGGGCAGAGTAAAGATGAAAAAAACCCCTCAGCTGTAAGCTTCTGCCATGCTTGACTATGATATGAGGATATTTTATTACCTGGCAGCAATGTGCTAGATGAATTGGACAAAGAAGTCATAATGTAAAGCATTATTGTTAATAATCCATAACTCTCATGCAAGGGTGTGGTCCTAGTAATTCTAGCTGCTGGTTGCTAGACAGATGACCCACGACCATCTCAGGTCGTTAAAAGATCACCAACTGTATACACCGCAAAGCACTGTACCAGGTGCAGGCACCAGGGGATAATATCACATATATCATTTCAAAATGTAATAAATACTATAACATAATAAATTGTAATATTCTAAACATAAAGGTCACTGGCCACCCTAGATGTGCTCATAGTCGGAAGGGGGCAGATATGTGAACCGACACGAAAATGCTCGTGATAAGCATGGCCCTTTCAGGGAACCCAAAGGAGCAGGAATTTGCTGGAAAGCTCGGGGAGAGCACTGAATAAGCGCAGAGGACGAGAAACGTTTCCACCTCTCAAAGAACCCCAACCAGCCATCCTAGAGCCCCAAATATCAGCCAGGGAGATGTATCTAATAACCTCAGCCTGTAGAATCTTGGTTTTTACTTTTGACAGTTTTGAAAATCCCAACACCAGTGGTTTTATTGAGGAGGTGATGGATCCAGACTGTGACTCATTTTAAAGAGACGATCTGGGCCTCGGCAGCAGGGTTGCTGAGCGGCCTGGGGTGGGGGGTGTACCCTGCACATATCAGCCCCTGACCATAGTGGGCTTCCTCACCTCTGACCACTTCTCCCAGGATGTCTGAGCCACACAGAAAAAAATAAAGGGAGAGTGGGAAGGCTATAGGAGAGGCAGTGAAGCATGCTCTTTTTTCCCATCTTTATGAAAACATTGTGATTTCTAATAGTAAAATTAGGAAACATGGTTTCATTAATGTTAAGCCCAAGGGCCAGTTTAACTGGGCAAATGTGTGAATTAGAATTTTTAGGGCCTTGCTGTTCCTGAAATGGTCCTCAAGAAGGTCATAGAAAACAAATTTATGGTTACCAAAGGGAAGGTGGGGGAGGGATAAATTGGGAGTTTGGGATTAAAATATACACTCTACTATATATAAAACAGATAACCAACAAGGTCCTACTGTGTAGCACAGGGAACTATACTCAATATCTTGAAATAACCAATAATGGAAGAGAATGTAAAAGAATATATATATGTATGTATAACTGAATCACTTTGCTGTACACCTGAAACTAACCCAACATTTCAAATCAATCTTTTTCAATAAAAACTAAAAAAAGGTATATTATATAAATCTAAAAAAGGGTAAATTCTAAACTGGCAAAAAAATTGTGATTTCTATACTACAGCAGGACATGAATAACCATGATTTATGTTTCACAATTTATGTAGTTGATTTCTTGTAAATTTGACGGTGTCTTCATATCTCTGCTATATGGTCGGTCCCCTTACCCTTTTCTTATACCACCACCCTTACAGCAAGGTCAGTAACTGTAATCACGGTAATAATTTTCACTCCAAAGCCCTATTTAGAGCCTTCTGAGGTTGACTTCAGCGGCCTCCTCTCTGACAAGTGAGGAGTTGGCAGTTTAGAGAGGGAGGCTGACTTGCCTGGGGACACTCAGTAGTCCAGGGGCCAAAGCAGCGCCAGGACTCATTTTTCCTGATGCACAGTTCAGTAGGCTCTGTAATTGCACCAGCCCTTTTGTACACCGAGATTTGTTTTAATCTATAAACTTCTGGGTGGTATACAGAGTGAAATTAAAGGCTGGTTTGCTATAGTGATGTAATTCATCTTTGTGAGCACTCTCCTTTGGTGTACCTATAAGGATGGGAGAGTTTAGATGCCCCTTTCAGAGGCCGTATATGGTGAGGATAATTTAAGGTTATTTAATGTATCCAGCCTTCTGGGCCTTTGGAACCAAGTGATGTTCTGGGATGGTCTGGGGCATGATGCCATGCAGCAGCACGCCACTGTGACAGCTGGAGGATGCATGGAAAACACACTGACATCTGATGGGTGACAACGAGTCTCCTCAGCACCAAAGTCTCAAACTGGTAATAAGCTCCTGGCCTTATCAGAAGTCCCTGGAAAATCTGCTAGCTGGTGGTGCCAGCGCGGTGATAACGGGGAGAAATTGCACTGGAGGCTGACTTAGTGGCAGAATTCTGGGGAATTAAGCTTGACCCTTGCAAGGAAATGAAGCAAAATTCATGAAGGCTGTCAGGGAACTGAGGCAAAAGGAGAGACATCAATGCTGGATGAGAGAAAGTCAGAAAGAAACTGGTCCAGAAGTTACAAGCAACAGTGCTAACAAAAAAGGTATATTGGTTACTTGGGAAAGACGATGAAGAAATGAATGACATTGCAAAAATATCTGAATTCCCCACCAAATTACTTTATTAAATCAGTCTTTAATGAGGCCACTGCAGGGAGGTGGAATGGACTGGCAGAAGTAATGACAGCCGTGTGGATACACCTCTTGCTAAGAGGCCACCTTGACAACTAAGCAGGGGTAAATCAGCAAGTGTGGATTACACGTCTTCAGTTATTAAGGAGTCTGGTAATGAATTTACCAAACCTTCTGCAGTTATTTTAAAGGGAAGGGAACTTAGGAAAGATGCATGGACGAGGTTACTGATCTTTAAAGCCAAAGTTAAAGGAATTCAGCGAACTGTGAGCTATTGTTAAATGTCCCAGGCAATACAGAGAGTATTTCACATGGTAACTGCCAGGTTGGAACCTAGCTTTAAATGATGCAAAACGTTGGGATGTGTTTTAATGATCAGCTTCAGGCCAGAATACGGCCGTTCTTAAGCATCTGGACCAGGCCAAAAGAGCTGACAGTTCCACTCAAGGCCAACGTCAATTTTCTGAGCCTATGTGAGTCTATGTGGGTCTGTAGGAAAGTTCTACAGAGCGAAGACACTCCAATACTGTGGGGCGACAGGGAGGATTAAAAAAAAAAAACAATCCCCAAGTCAGGTTAGCAAACTCCAAACTGCATGTTCTCATTTAGTCCTGCAGTCCTGCCAGTAGGCAATAAAGTCCCCAGTGTACAGATAAGAAAACTGAGGCTCCCAGAGGCTTAGTGCCTTCCAAAAGGAACAAAACTAATAAGTGGTACATTAAGGACTGGAAATCAAGGACTGGTAAACTAACTGAGGCCTGGAAGCCTTTCTGCTATAAATCTGGTACTCCTTCCATACCATGCTAAGAAGGCTTCTACTGGATAAAGAAGAATATATTCTATGACTTAAAACCCTGAGTGTTTTCAAGTTTGCAAATTGAGATGAAAATGCTGAAAGGTGCTAGGCACAAATAGAGCTGAACACAGAGGGAGGGCTATTCCATTATTTAAAAAGAGAAGAAAGTCCATTTCATACAAGTCTGCTAGGAATATCCTGTCATTTCCTGTCATGGAGGGCAATCCTGCACATTGTGTGTAGGATTCTGAGATGTATATTCACAGGGAAAGCAGAAAGGGTCCGGGGAGACGTATGAAGACACAGAAGACCTATAAGACCTATAAGAAGAAATGAGCACAGGCAAAGCCTACATGACAGAACAAAGTCCAGAAAGGAATATGACAAAATGTCAAGTGTCATCTCTAAGCGGTAGGATTCGGGTAACTTAATTTTCTTCTTTGTGCTTCTATGCACTTTATAAATCTAGAGTTAAGTTTTACTTTTAATTTACAAAAGTGAGTTAAAGAAAAGCCTAAGCAAGACCTGAGCTGGTGTACAGGTGTGCTGACGGCACCCCGGGAGGGGGAGGGGGGCCTTCCTGCAGCGGGGCCCAAAGAGCATTAGGGAGAGGAGAGCAGAAAGGGCCTGAGGAGCTGGAAGTGGGGGGAGCGGCGGAGGCGGCAAGGCCGGTAGGGAGATGAGGCTGCAGCTGGGAGGACATTATGGGGCAGCGTAAGCTTTTAGTCTGGTTCAGGAACCCAGGGCCTGGGAGCCTGGGCAGGGGCCCGGTGAGGATCCCGGTTTCTGGAGAGGCCCAAAGGCATGTGGGGTGCCTGGGTGTGGGGTGGGGTGGGAATGTGGGGCTTGGGAGACGGGTTGCACCTCTGCACCCTGACCCGCCATGGGCCCCTCTAAGAGCAGACGGTGAGCAGGAGGGGTGGAGAAGCATGTCTGTGCTTGCTGGGTGTGGGAGGCTGGACCGCTGGGGGTCAGGCAGGGACTGGGATGCGTGTCCCCCAGGAGCAGGACATCCTGTGGCCGCTGTACAGCACTGACACATCACGCCCACCCGCCCGTGGACTCTTAAGTGTCCGTTGCTACTCTTGGTTTGATGAATTGCCCCGTGCAGTCCTGGCTGGCTGATGTCTGGGTGCCTGAGAAGACCGGCTCCCAGAGGGCTGCAGGGGCAGTGGGCACAGTCTGTCTACACCCCTGGGGATGGGATTTTCAGTGGTCCCCAGGGCTGGCTGACTGTTTCCCGGGGAACACAGCAGACCTCAGAGAGCAGGCACAGGAAGCTGTGCCGGTCGGCGGGGCTCCCCCAGCCTTGAGTCTGTCTCCAGGTCACCTAGAACCCGCAGTGAGGTCTCCAAACACAAATGAGAGCAGCCACTCGCCTGCTCTCACCCACCTGGGCAACCTGGCCAGGTGTTCTCTCCCAGAGCAATGGAAACGGAGCCCAAAGGCTCCAAGAGACCAGCTGCTTCCTAGTTATTCAGTTTTTCCAACTGACAAATCTTTTCGGGGGTGGAGCTTTTGTTTGCCCCAAGAGGGCCCCTGTGCCAGCCCTGAGGACAGCCTTTCACAGTCCTCTTGGTGCCCGCAGTCACTGTCCTTGCGTTCCCAGATCTGCCATTCTTCTAACCTTCAGCTGCACAGAGATGCAAGAAGGTGGAAAAAGGGCCTTTTATAACCAAATTATCTCTGTGCATTCATCTGCCATTATGTTAATGTATCCCGAAGCCCGACAGATGGTACAAAGTCAATTATGCTGGTGTTAAAAAGGGAGAAATTGACCTTTTCAGGACTCACTTGGATTCAGAGCAGAGTTTGCAAACTCGGGTTTCAGGCCTGGCACGTGGGTGAAGGCGCAGGGCGCTTGGCAGGGGGAGGGGCTGGGTCAGGGTGGTCAGCCCAGGACGCCTCTGTACCTGCACATTCTCTCAAAGAGCCCAGCGTAGCCATCACAGTTGGTCTTCTGGGTCTGCAGGATGGTGGTGGGTTTGAAGGCCTGGCGGTCCTTCTCCTGGGCGGCCTCGATGTCATACTCTGGAGGGCAGAGGAGGAGGCCGTGGGGAACCAGGTCCCTGGAGACGACCCGGCTGGTGCAGAGGAGAGAGGGGTCCACCACCTGTGGCACTGCCCCTGCCCTCCACTGTACTTCCAGCATCACTTGGGCTGGCCTCCCTCAGGCCGGGGAGAAACTGCTGTGGACTGAAGGGAACAGGGGCCCAGTCCAGGTGCTATCTGGCAAATGTCCCCTCTGTGTGGGTGAGGGCAGGAAGAGCAAGGCATTGGCTGAGGGGCCACTGGCTCCTTAGGCCTCGTAGGAGCGGCTGGGAGGGGAGGGACAAAGACAGCACTGGGCTGGGGTTTGCCTGCGTGTCCCCACCACAACGCAGCTCTGCAGGCGGGGCCAGTGAGGCTGCTCACCCATCCTTGCGGCAGCCCCCAAGGCCAAAGCCTCACACTGACCTGCAGGGGGCAAACTGAGCTACTATTAAAACTTGTCCCAAATAGAGAAGACAGACTCTCACTTCAGTAACAGTAGAGCTTAAGGCATGGGGGAGGCCCTGAGGCTGAATCCCTGTGGCCTTTGAGGGCACAAAGGAGGTGTGTGTGTGTGGGGGTGGGGTGGGGTG